TATACCCACATTAAACTCAAATTTACTGATTCTGTATATTATTTCATGCATTAAGAGTTTAATTTTTGACTTACATTTTTAAGCAGTGATGATTGATTATTATGTGACTTGTTAAATGTTTTTTTTAACAATTATAATATATAAACAATATAATTATGAAAAAAGTAGAAGAGTTATTGTTTTCATAATATTTTGTATAGACAATTGTTATTTTGCATTGTAATGAAGGTTTTTATGACAATAAAAATTGTCATTACTAAAAATTAAACACTGATTTCATTCATATTGTTTTTCAATAGGTCAAGCACCTTTTCATAAATATGGCTGTTTCTAAGGTTTTTTTTTTTTTAGGATTTACATTTCAAAAAGTAAAAGACAAGTAGGCAACTTCAAGCTTTTTAAGTAGCTTGTACAAACCCTGGTAATTTTTGTTATAGTCCGCTGTAATTGTCTATTCTACCAAACAAGTTTATTATGATTAAAAAAAATGTAGATATCAGTTAAATTGCACGATAAACAATTTGCAAACAACAGTATAACAGAGCAGGTTTTAGGTTTGTAGATGTTTAGATGCAGAAATGGAAGAATCCTAAAATAACATTGTATAGTTTCCATTAAATATTGATTCTTGTTAGAGCAATAAATAAATAAATACATAAATAAAAGAAGCCAAGACAAAAGAATGATTTTCTGGTTTTTATGGATTAACATTGAAGACAGAAAGCAGCTGGTACATGCGGTCACTTTAATATTCACATCCATCCACCTCCGATTTATTTCTCAACAGTTTGTTCACGTGAGACATAAACGAATGTTTGTGGTTATATCCATTGAGAACTGGACTCTTGAATCTATCGAATTGAATACGGGCATAGGTTTTTTTTTTTGTCCCCTCTCTCTCTTTGTCGAGGTGTAAAGGTATACCAGTGATTTAATGATTTTTGTTGGACAATTGTACTTTGCGTACATGAAAATAAAATAGGACTTTGAACTAAAACCCTCGATTTCTTGTGCATTTATTCTGTTTATTTCTTTATTTGTGTGGTTGTTGAAAAGAGTGTAAACTTATTTTGGTTTGTAACCGGTGGCTTTTAGAGCTCATCTAGGTTTATTTAAATATTGACAGGCTTACTCCTGTCTGGCACCCGAACACTTTAATTTAGTTATTTAAGTATTGATTTAAACTGTTTTCTGGGGCCCACCACCGTTACACACTAAAGAACCGAGGATCACACACTACCAGACTTTAAATTCCTTCCGATCACAATAAACTCACACAGAAATGTGCGCATTGTTGCTAGGAGACACAGGACAAATGAAAACAATATGTGTTTTAAAATTTGCTGAAAATATCAAACATGTTTGATCTCCGACTGGATGGAATCAAAGTCTGAAGCTAAAAAATTTGGAGTCTGTCACCATCATATACTATGTGATTTTCTATTACGTCAGCTTAAATCTACAGACTGAATCTGAGCTTTGGCAACTAGTGTCAACTTCTCCAGACTGTAAATCAGTGGAAAATCAGGGCAAAATATTGTGGTGTATTCCAGGCTTAGAATATAAAGTAGTTGTCATCCATTTAATAAGAGGCTTCATAATGAGGCTAGTTTCTGTGTTCATTGCCATGAATGAAATATTTTATTGGTTTGTTTTATTAGATTTTTGAATGTGTGTTACTTAATCAAACATATTGCAACATCAAGACTAGTCCACGTTCAGCTGACACTTTTGAATGACACTATAAATTAAGCACAGCCAGACTGTTTGCATTCAATGACGTACATCTTAACTGAAATGTTTTTGTCATTTCAAATAAAATAAATTTTATTGTGTGAGAGATTAATATTTTATTTTAACATAAGTTTTAGTATTGAAATTGATATCTTGTGAACTAAAAATGTCTCAATGTAGATTTTGGTGAGATTAATAGGTACGTTTACCCTATTTATTGCATGTTCAGCTGATTCAGTTAATCATCTGATGTCTCTGATTTGTGCCTTGATCTTAGTGTTTGTTAACTATTGTTGTAATCTTTAGCACTGATGATAGTCCAGCAAGGACTGAAACGTTTGCTTTTTTTGTGTGTGCACAGACATTTTTTTGTAAGTGCACTTTATTTTTTATCACCTTGATGTAAATCTCCAGGAAAAAAATTTCTTCAAAGGACCTTGAACCTTGCATTTAGTTTCTTGTACAGATTTTTTGTTCTTAATCCTGTTCCTCACGTCCCCGTCCTCTGCACATGCCCTCTGCATTTCTCTCTCTCACCTGATTCAGATCATCAGCTCGTTAGCTCCATCAATAAACTGTGTTCCAATTGTACGCTTTGTGTATTGACAGACAGATATTTTTCACATAGCTACAAGAAGCGTTAGACATGGACACGCACACGGTTGCCGTGGTAGCGAGCACTAGACGGTTTAGCGAATCACAACACACTGGGCCAGTTAACCAATCTGAGCCCATTGCGTATTTCTGAGGGAGGGGCTTCATAAAAACAGGAAATCATCAGAGCGTTCATAAGAGAAGGGTCAGAACGGTGTAGAATTTAGGTAAATTATGTGAAAAATAATGCATTTTTTTTAAAAACGAAGCATTAACACCTGTTATACTGCACCCCATAAACACAATCAAGCCTAGAAAAAAAAACAAAAAAACACTTTACCACCCCTTTAAAAGTTACATTTTTAGGGTGGTTGGCCTCAGGGGTCTAACTGCACTAGTCAATGTCAAAATGATTGAGATGGTCTGTCAAATCATATTAGGTGAGGTTTACTGTTCACAGAAGTAAAGCACGAATTTAATGTCAAATGAAACTGAAAGAAGTAAGGTCAGATGGAAGCAGTTAAATGTTTAATATTTGACAACTTTCACAATAGAAATGACAGACAGTAACATCCAGTGATGCAAATAAAATAGAGAGATTATATTATATTATTTTAATATTAATTTCCCTTTTTTGATAAATATGGCTGATTTGAATTGAAAATATGGTATCATTACGTGATGTAGGCTAATTCCTAACTATTTTTTTCTTAGAATGTCTTGTGTGATTTAAAAAAAAATTATGAAAAATTACCTTCATTAAAGATTTGCACATAGTCTCATTGGGTGCTTAAACAGAAAGCTGAATCCTATTGAGGCTGTGTCCTCCCTCGTGAAAAATAAATATACTCAAATGTATTTGAAATACATTTACTTCATGCTAAGTATACTACAAATACATTTTTTGTGTTTATGTGCTTAATAAAATGTCCTGCAATTGTACTTATAGTGTACTAAACTGGTATACTTAAAGTCTGCTAAATTGGAACAACTAATTTTGTACTTAATGCACTTTAATTGTGCAGAAGTAGTGCTGAAGTACAATTAAAGATATACTTAGTATATTGTGCTAAAGTGGAACTATTGCAAGTATACTTCAGGTACACTTTAAATATTTTGTATTTAAAGTCTGATAATATTCAAAGATCATACAATCCTCATCAAAAGTGACATTAAAACACATTTTAGACTTAATATTAAGAAATGTGCATTGTGCACAAGTAGTATGCCAAATAAAGTTTAATTATAATTTTTTTATCAGTAAGTCTTGAGTTATCTGTCAGTAAATATGTTAATAGATTTTAACTCAGTATGAAATAAATTTATTTTAAATATATTACTTTTTTTTTTTACTAGGGAAGTTTATTACATATCGCATCATATGACCCCTTTAATATTAAGAAAAGTGCATTGTGCACAAGTAATATGCCAAATAAAGTTTAGGCTAATTATAATTTTTATATCAGTAAGTCTCGAGTTATCTGTCAGTAAATATGTTAATAGATTTGAATTATACTTATTATGAAATAAATGTATATTAAATATATTACTTTTTTACTAGGGCTGTCTAGTCCCGGTACAAGAAATCATAATAAATATTAATAAAGCAAGATGCCCTGTTGAAATATGATGTATGAAGTAATGTATGGGTTATTTAGATTGCAACGGTAAAATATAAATTAAAATTATTGTGACAGATGTGAAGGGAGAGGATAATTTATATACTATATGCATCAGGCTTTTTAGTAAGAAACACTTCCTCATAGGATACACCTGTGTATCCTCCTTTATAGCTCCTCTGGAAGCTTCCTCAGGCCTCGTTCCTCACAGTGCAATTAAGTACATAAATTAGATGTCCTCAAAGTCCCTTTCAAGGAAAGTCTGTTCACTCGGCGGCCATATTTGCAATGCCTCCAGGCAGCTCAAACAAGACCAGGTCCTATCTAAATGAATGGGGTAATCCTGAAATCTCAAAAACTGCTCACTGAACTCGCAATTAAATTACATATTTAAAATCAGCAACAAAATCTGAACAACAAATCTGTGCATTGGCTGGTCTAGCCTCAGGTTTCTATGGGAACCGGAGCTTCTAATGGCCGCTGCACTGACGCAATGACTTTACCAATCAGCGATTGGCTCTTTCATTTAGAAGTCGGGACTATTCCGCCATATTGTGCATTGCAGTTTCTCCCATTCATAAGTATAGGAGTGAACCGTCTTTGTATTTCTATAGTCTTTGATGTCCTTCAGGAAGCACCCTTAAAAAGCTTGAAGGTTTTGTCACAGTTTAAAGTTTAAGTAGTTTTAAAAGCTCAAAGTATTAAGTGTTGTCTGAGACATTTCTGTATACTTGCTAGGGTTTTCTGTGTGGCTGCAACAATGTTGCTAGGCAATCAACTGTTGTCCATACAGTAAAAGTCAGTGGGTTTCAAAAGAACTTTGAATCCCCATTGTATTTTATTGAATGGATTTAAAAAATAAAATCTTTTCCACTTTCCTGTTACACAAAAAACAACCAGTGATTTAAGAAAGTCTCTATAAAAGATGAGAAAGATATATCAATCTTGGGTGGAACTGTAAACCGTCACGCATTCCTACTGTACTACTTGACCAGGTAAGATTATTTTACCTTATGTGAAGGCTGCTGACTAATCCTTTGTTTTCATTTACAGGGTCGACATGTCAAAACAGGACAGCTGGCGGCAATCAAAGTCATGGATGTCACAGAGGTATAAAAAAAAAAACATTTTGAAATTTCATTATATTGCCCTATATTACTGATCTTTTGCAACTATAAAAGTGGTTGGTATCAGAGTCTGGGCATGGGAAACTGGGTCTAGATTAACACAAGGACAGGCTCTACTGCAGTGGTTTTCAATCCTGGTCCTGGGGACCCACCGCTCTGTACATTTTGGGTGCTTCTCAAACGGAAGGCTGCATCCTACCGAGGCTGCGTCCTTCCTAGCTCAGTCCTTCAGAGTCTTGTAGGCTAGAGTCCTCCTCGGCATTAAACGCTACAATGAGTCTAGTAAGTGTAAGTCACATATGTTCCCGCCCTCACCGCCACGGCACAAAAATACTAATAAAACTTAGTTTTGGAAAAATGCTTTGTATTACAAATCATATTATTTGGCTTTCTATTAATGCAGTACAATGAATCACAGCCGTGTAGTCTCCCGGTGGCTTACATTATTGGCAGTTTAGCGTTTAGTGAGTAATTTACACCAAAACAAAAAATAACATCTATGCTTTCATGTCTGAAAACATTATTTTTGTCTTACATTTCATAATAAATTCAGAAAAGCTCAGTACTGAATCGTTTTTCGTCAGTTTATTTTCATGAAATGGAATGGGTACAAAGTATTGTGTGGGTGATTGAAAGTCGCGGAGGATACATCCCATGCATCCTTCAAATTGCTTGGTCCTGACACCCCCACTCACTGTACATAAATACAATATAAATGACCATATTAAACCATACTACTAAATTACCATACTAAATTAAAATGCCCAAGTACTGTTCCAATATGTCTAAAAGCCAGTCCTCTAATCCTGCTCCTGGAGGACCAACGTCCTGCAGAGTTTAGCACCAGCCATCTCCAACACATTTGCCTGGAAGTTTCCAGTGAGTCTGGAGACCTTGGGTGCATCTCAATCAGCTCCTGAGCTTGTGAATCAGTACATTGTGTACATGAATCTGGGCAATGGCAAGAACCCTGGCTTACTGCATATTTAGAAATATGTTATTCAATTTCCGGGCAGCATGATTACGTACAACGACAACGTACAACATTGTAGAACATCACCACTGTCATTAATCAGAAACAGACGGGACCTATATCTTTTTTTATTAAAACAAATGTATGCACTTTAAACACATTGTTCTGTTACATATTCTTAGAACATTTAAGCCAAATATTAATTGATATTATTTCTAAATGTTACTAGATGTCTTCGCTACCTGTCTAGCAATGTGTTTACGCTAAAATAATAATAAAAAAGTGGGTTTGTCTTTTCAAATTGCATGTCATCATATAAGGTCTACCTGCAGACTTCCAACCCTGTTCCAAGTTAACACACCTGTCTGCCAGGGTTGCAGTGCACTTTAATGTTTTGTCTCCAACAACATGAATGTGAGTAAATGATGTTACAGTTTTCTTTATTTTGGGTGAACTATTCCTTTAAATCGGGGGGGGCAAAGTCCTTTTCTCTCCAGTGCATTTAGCTTCATACACCGTTTTCATACACGTTTTGCATGTGCAATAAATATAATGAAATTAAGGGTGTAGAATTGGTTTGCTGCATTTTGACATGGCTGACAGAAATAACCCACATTTCAAATGGGTCTTTGACAGAAATGCATGTAAAATTGTGGTGGAGCACAATGACACCCATCTGTCAGTCATCAAATACATAGCCTGGAATGAGGGAATTCAAGAAAATTCCCTGTGCCTGTCTAAAGCAAAAAAAAAAGTGTTTGCCTCCTTTGACCGCCTATCTGAACTACACAGAATTAGAAGTAACAGACCTCTTTGGTGTTTGATGTGTCTTTCTGTTGATGTGTTTGGTTTAGGATGAGGAGGATGAGATTAAACTTGAGATTAACATGCTGAAGAAATACTCCCACCACAGAAACATTGCCACATACTATGGTGCTTTTATCAAGAAGAGTCCTCCTGGACATGATGACCAGCTGTGGGTGGGTATCTGAACATCTATCATGTTTTTCACAGCCTCACTGTCTATTTAAATAAATTGCATTTCACTGATGTACTGTAGAATTCTAAATTCAAAAATGTTTGTGAAGACAAAAAGCCTGACCAGAAACTTTGAAGTAGTTTTAAAATCTTGAAGATTGAAAGGTTTAAACGGATAGCTCAAAGTTCAAACAGATAGCTATGTGGTTGCTAGGAGTTTGCTAAAGTTTTTATGATGATTTTGAGAGACTATTTGCCATTTTGAATCAAACGAGCCCACACCCATGATTCTCCAACGTTCTTATGTTCAGAGATGGCTGGCTCATTTTCCTATAAGGATGCTACATTTGTATAGAAGAAGCAGCAACAACATATGAGATAAAACTTAATAAGAATAAATTTAAATACAACATTAGTATTTTAACTTTTTAAAGGCCTTTTATGTTGTTTTCCCCCTTTGATTTTTCTGTCTGTGCAGTTGGTCATGGAGTTTTGTGGTGCTGGATCTATAACAGACCTTGTTAAGAACACCAAAGGCAACAGTTTGCAAGAATACTGGATTGCATACATCTCCAGAGAGATTCTGAGAGTGAGTGACAACAGCTGTCCGTTTACACACTTTCTCAGGACTTTCCATTTTCATAGAATCATCTCCAGTCTTTTGAATCTATTTCACCTTTCTCCTCACTGAATTCTTTTACTCAGTGTTTGTCCTCAAGGGTGGCAATTTGTGTAATTTCCATAACTTTTACATCTGAAGTTTAATGTAGAGTCACTTTTTCTTCTCAGGGTCTGGCCCATTTGCATGCCCACCATGTCATCCATCGTGACATTAAGGGTCAGAATGTGCTGTTAACAGAGAATGCCGAGGTGAAATTAGGTGAGTCACATTGTTTTTATTTGCTTTTAATAAATTAAATACTTTTGAACTTTATTGCACCACTGTTACTTTACATCAAAAACTGCCATACTTTTAGAAATTGTTTGTCAAAAAAATTAGAAAATTTGATTTCAGAAATGAATGACCCCTTTACCTCAGATGAGCGACATCAACCAATTTGGGTCTAATTAGAGCTTTCAAGGGTTTGCAAGCACAGCTACAGATGTTAGTTTTTAGTTTTTCTGTATGTAATTGAAAAATTGCTAATTGCTATAATCTTGATACTTGCCATTTCATTCCTGTTTTAATCACATCACTGTGTCCTTCTTTTGCAGTTGACTTTGGTGTGAGTGCTCAGTTGGACAGGACAGTTGGCAGAAGAAACACTTTCATTGGCACTCCTTATTGGATGGCGCCAGAGGTCATTGCCTGTGATGAGAACTCAGAAGCGACATATGACTATAGAGTAAGAGCCTGTCTTGAACATTTATACTGTTGTAATATAGTCCTTCTTTTCAGACCTTACTGTAGAAATCTTTCTCTGCCCCATACATCTGTGTCCCCAACATTGTAGACACTATATAAAACAAGAACACCATTTTCCTTACAGCGTTTAAGGGAATAAGAGTGGTTTAACACACCTGGGGCCATATTCACAAAACATCTTAAGGCTAAAAGTAGCTCCTAACTTGCTGATTTAGGAGAAACTAATGAAAAAATAATGTGCGTGTCATTCGTAATTTTAGGACTCGCATTTTAGCATTTTAGTGCTGAAATCAGCTCCTAAATATGTTAGGGGTAGTCAAGAGGACTAAGTCAGAAAAGCTAAATCACAAACAATCCTAAAGGTGTGGCTGTTGCTGGTAATTAGCCTTCATGTATAAGTTACAGCTGTTCTTGCGTCTAGTTTCCTTTGCATTTGCAAAACATCTTACTATCAGCCATGATTGTTCTAGTCTCTTAATTAAAAGGCTGCTTATATGCATAGCCGCTAGTTGTTTTACAATCAGCTGAACATATACTTGTTTAATTAGTGACACTTAGGCCTAATCCAATTTCTACCCCTTACAGCTACACTTATCCCTTCCCCTCTGTTTTGCGCATACACATGAAGGGGTAGGGGTGTCTCGATTCCCTTTTGGTTTGAGGCGTAGGGGTAGGGGGATGGGCCAGATATCCTTTCAAACGAAGATTTTTCAGGACCACACTTCAAACGAAGGGGTATGAGAATTATCAGCATAAAACGGCTACAGCGGCAACATGGCTGCCCGAGCGAACAAAAAGACCCATACATGTAAGCATTTTTGGCATTAATAAAGATTTTAATTAAAAGTAATCATTTGTTTTATGTTACATTCAATCGTGTGTTCATATTTACGGTCATGTTAAATGTTTGCAAAAAAATTGCTAAAGTTTGCTAACGTCATATCATTACTGACTACACGATAGTGCCACAACATATTTTCATGTCTGATCAGGGCGATAACCACCGTAGACATTGAGGGAGGGGGCCCCAATAATTAGAAATCGCTAAACCTTTTTCTCAAATATTGCCAATTAAAGAGAGGGAGAGAGAGAGATGAAAGTTGCATGTACACGCATATGTGCATCTCTCTTTACAATGAGTGAGTTTACTTCAAAAACAGCTATTTTATCCTCTCGTTGCTAGAAAATATAATGTAGCGATTCAGTATTTAAACTGTTATAATAAAAGTCGTGGGGCAGCGTTGACAAGTTTCTTTGCTCCTGGATGTGTAAGCTGCGCAATCTCCAATATGTGTGTGTCAGTAAGCAGCGCATTAATATAGAACGGTAATTAAAGGCTCTAATGCACACCAGTATAGGTGTGTGTGTTGTAGGAGCTAGATGACGTGTAACAGTAGTGGTGTCTCATTACTTTGGGGAATATTTTCACCCCTTCCCCTTGACAATCTGTTTCAAGGGACAAGGGGAAGGGGTATGGAATAGAATTGGGATTGGGCCTTAGTCTACATTTTAATATGAATATGGCAGTGGTTCTCAAACTTTTTAGGCAATCTGAACTGTGCCTGAGCATGTTTGTATAATTAGGTGTACAATGGGTCTGGTTGTCACCTTACTGATGAACAGTAATTGTAGTTTGCGAGTTAAAGGACCGGTCAAACAATACTTATGATTCCATACCCAAAGAATTGTATGTTGAAAAGAGTATGCCAGAAGTCCCCGGATGGTCTACTATTTCAGGTAGATTTTTGAAGTGTGGATCAATACACACTTTAATAGATAATATTGCCCACAATCCATTGTGCTTTGACAAAGGATTTGGTTCAGAATATAAAGCGTTACAAAACTACAAACATGGCAGATGTGTGCGACCATCGGTTAAGTATCCGTTTTATATTTCATCTGCAACAACAATGTTAACTTTTATAACCATCTGTTTGACAGTTAACATTTAAATGCATCATGTAAAAAAATATGAGCAGAGATCTCCACATAAATACCCACGGCTGGCAGATTAACAAGCTGCTGCTTTTTTCTCCAATATGGTAGGAAGTTAAATGAAATGAAATGTGAAGGATGTTAACTGTGACAAGATGATTGACAGGCCAGTTTACAGTGACTGGGTGCGTGTTACTATGCAACAGAGCGTCTGTTAAAGATGCAATTGTATGTTGTGACATTATGTCCACTCAAAAGTGTGTACTTTTTCTTCACCAAAAGAGTACATACTTTAAGTGCATCGTATAAGTAGGCTAATTGGATTTATTGTTTTTTAAAGTTAAATTGTAAAATTTAAGTTTTTAAAAATTCAAAAAAAATGTGCATGCTCAAAATGTGACTGTGGCTTGAAGCTGCTAATTCCTCCATCAACGTCATCTGCCTCCATAATGTACTGATACTGTAACACTCGGCCTTATCAGCTGAGGCTACACAGTTTTTAAAACAATTAATTGTTTAAAATGTTTAAATTTTGAGTGAGCAGATTAAGACATTAAGACGGCAGATGTAAAACAACAATAATGTATTTACACAAAACAATGACACAGAACTAAAACAACACGTTACACATTGAGAATAGTCAGACTGCTAATAGAGTCTTTCAGTTCATATCCTAAAACAGTCCAACAGCAATCCGTGCGTACTAGTCCAAAGTGTCCACCCGTGTATATACAATCCAGTAAATGTGATACTCCAAAGTGCAAGGGCAAAATAGTCCTGGTTGGTAAACAAATCCACAAGGCGTTCCTTCACAACTCAGGCAATAAACACATAGCGACCTGCTTCCTGGGTGAGGTGTCAGGCCTCTATCTTAGGCCATGTCCACACGTACACGGGTATTTTTTATAAACTGAGTATTTCCTTCTTCAGTTTTTAAAAAAATCTCTGTCCACATGAAAACGCAAACGCATGCTATGAAGCACTGTCAAGAGCATGCCAATTGCCAAACCAACAGGTGGCGATATAAGGCTTGTTTGAGATTAGCAAAATCTGCGCAGAATCGGTCACCGGTGATCACCACGAGATGCATGCCGGTTAGAAAAGTGTCCGAGTTACAGTGGGTACGGAAAGTATTCAGACCCCCTTAAATTTTTCACTCTTTGTTATATTGCAGCCATTTGCTAAAATCATTTAAGTTAATTTTTTTTCCTCATTAATGTACACACAGCAAAGCTTAATGCTTGGTTCAAACAACTGTGATGCTGCGTTCTCTTATAAAATGTTTTATTTTATATCTGATTTCATGTGATTATGTATTTAAATTATGCATGTATGTTCCCAAACACTATGACAGTGCGATCTCTGTGTGAGATATGT